ACAGAGATCCGCCTGCCTCTGCCTCCCGAGTGCTGGGATTAAAGGCGTGTGCCACCACCGCCCGGCCCCAGGAAACATTTTGAAAACCTACTCTGGGGCTGGAGAGATGGCTCAGTGGTTAAGAGCATTGCCTGCTCTTCCAAAGGTCCTGAGTTCAATTCCCAGCAACCACATGGTGGCTCACAACCATCTGAAATGAGATCTGATGCCCTCTTCTGGCCTGCAGGCAGACACACAGACAGAATTTTGTATACATAATAAATAAAATATTAAAAAAAAAAAGAAAACCTACTCTGAAGCAGGGTGGGGTGGCTCACACCTTTAATCCCAGCACTTGGCAGGCAAAGACAGGCAGATCTCTGAGTTTGTGGCCAGCCTGATCCACAGAGCAAGTTTCCAGGACAGACAGGGCTACATAGAGAAACCCTTGTTTTGGAAAACGAAACAAAAACAAACCAACTATACACCATACAAAATGGCATAAAACTTGTGATATTGTCTCAAATCTTTACAGTAATTCTTTTTGTTTGTTTTTGAGACAGGGTCTCACTGCGTAGCTCTAGCTGTCCTGGAACTCACTAAGTAGACCAAACTGGCCTTGACCTCACAGAGGTTCACCTGCCTCTGGCTTTTATAGCAATTCTTTAAGGGACATTTGACTTTATTTTACACATTAAAAAGTTGTCAGTGCCAGAGATGCAGTTCAGGAATTAAGCATGTACGTCTCTTTCAAAGGTTCTAGTTTGGGTTCCCAGCACCTACATTGGGCAACTACAGTCACCTGTCGCTCTAGCTCCAGGGACTCCACTGCTTCTGTCCTCCAGGGACACCCGCACTCCTGGACACCCTCCCCCTCCCAACACATACATACATATAAGGTTTAAAAAATTTAAACTTAATCTTTTAAAAAATTGGGGCTGAAAATGTAGCTCAGAGAGTGCTTGTCTAGTATACAGAAAGCCCTGGGTTCTAGTTCAGTTACTGTGTAGTCTAGACCTGGTGGCACATAACTGGAATTCCAGGCAGGAAGATTGGAAATTCAAGGTCATTAGTGTCTCTGTGGCCAGGGACACGGGAGACCAATCTAAAAAACAAACAGACAAATACCACCAAAATAAAGCGAGCAAACAAACAGAAACCAGGTTGTAACTTTGTCAACCTCAAACAACTAAAGACTGCTGTCTTGCTTAGAAGAGAGCCTCACAGGGCCTGGGTTGGTCACTATGTAGCTGAGGATGGCACTGAGCCCCTCATCTCCCTACCTCTTACCTGCCAAGCGCTGGGTTTCTAGTTGTACCACCAACCCAACTCGCAAAAGAACAAAAACATACTAGCTTTAAGTACAAATCTCCTGGCTTTCAGAGTATATTCTCATTTTATCATGACCCGTCCCTAAATACATTTGTCTGTAATGAAGATGGAAGGTACGGTGCCCCCAAGTTCCCTTTACCCCCTTGCTCTGTCCCCTTCCCATCTCAGCCGGTCCACAGCCAATGGAGAGAAAGACAGCATCACCCTCATCTCCATGAAGAATATCAACATGAATAACAGCAAAGGCTGCAGTGCAACGGAAAAGGTACATTCTTAAATTTTCTCTCCTTCCCCAAATTCACCCATTTCCTCCCCTCCCACCCCCAACACTATTTTCAGGCTCTGGTTCCTTAGACAGGCTAACACCATGATCAAAGTCTCTTCCCCTGCTTCCCTACCTTGCCCCTCCCAAGTTCACTATTCCTCATCATGACTGTTTTTCAGATTCTCTAAAAGTGACCCGGAGTCCCTATGGGTCACAATGTGATGCAGCTGCCCAGTGACCACGAGGAAGAAGAGATGAGATGAGATTGCTGGAGGCAAGAGTCGGCATATAAGTTATTTTGTTTCGTGTCTGCCCCAGCTCTAAAGGACATTGCATTCCTCTAGGATCAGAAACAGCGCACCGTGTGAGAGACTCCATCCCAGTACAAGCCACTCTAGCATTTGGCCTGCTCTTCCTCCTCCTCAGAGACTAAGGAACGAGGAGTCAATAGAGCAAGAGTCAAGGAAGGAATGAGGTAGACTGATCGATTCTGCTCACATTAAAGTTGTTTTTCTGGCCTGGAATCCAATTTCTTTTAAGGTCTATGTTGCCATCTACCTATTTCCTTCCTGGCTTTCTTCCTGTTTGTCTTTCTTCCTGTCTTTCTTTTCTTCCTTTCCCTTTCTTTTTCTCTCTCTCTCTCTTTCTATGAGCGTGTGCTTGAGCGTATGTATGTATATGCACCATGTACATGAAGGAACCCACAGAGGTTAGAAGAGGTCATGATCCCCTGGAACTGACTTACAGATAGTTGTGAGCTGGGTACTGGGAATCAAACCAGGGTCTTCTTTGAGAGCAGT